GAAGGATGTTGTGCCATTAATCCTTGCACCAGGAGGAATATTTGATGCTATTTGGTTTCCAAAATTTATAAATAAAGCATCCAATTCTCTTCAAGTAGTTACACATCACATTTACAGTGTTGGTGGAGGTACGTTAAGCTCTTTTTATGTGATGAAGCTTTAATATTCCCTGTAGTCGTAGTATTTCTCATGTAGTTTCTTGCCCTTCGATTTCTGATTCTATCTTTTGTCTCTTGAACTTCGATTATCGCAATATTGTGTTGCAGTTACTGTTCCTTTTTTCAGAATAGTCATCATACTTCCTATAGTTATTTTCCATGATTTCTTCACTTACATTATTTCTTTTTTCAATATGCTTTTCCTTGAGCCGAGGGTTTATCAGAAACAACCTCTCTGCCTCCCAAGGTAAGGGGTAAGGTCTGCATACCCTCCCTAAACTCCACTTGTGAGATTACACTGAGTATGTTGTTGTTGTTGTAAGCTTTAATTTTCTCCTAATCCTAGGCACCTAGCTCAGCCACTGTAATTGTTATAACGGTGTCAATTTTCTGCTGAATGCCCCTCAAAGTGAGAGTCTTTCCATTATATAGAGAAAATAAAGATTACACATCCCGAAAGATCCGCCATCCTATCCCTAAAGATCAGCTATTCTATCTCTACAAATCTGCTATTCAATCCCTCTAAATCGGCCTTGCTATCCCTCCAAATCAGCTATTCTATCACAATATTTATTCCTTTGATTCTACAACAAATGTATATGATCATGCTAATATAATTATAGTAATATATACAATAACAAACGGATCATCTCATATTTAGGCAATGACCCCAACCTAGTTCAGAAAATACTTGAACCTTCTCATCTGGATGAAGAATCCAAATACTTGCAAAATCTTCAAGGCGTTCTCCGAAATTCTGGAACTTCAGCTGTAGCATGGGTTGGTGAAAGTGGAGGAGTTTATAACAGTGGTCGCAATCTTGTTTCAAATAGCTTCGTGTCCAGCTTTTGGTAATAATTCAACCTAACTGGTCTATCTATACCTCTGATAACTTTCTTGTCAATATTTCATAGAAGTGATTTTGCATCTTGCAATATATAGGTACTTGGATCAGATTGGGATGTCAGCCACGTTCGATACTAAGAAATATTGTCGACAAACATTGGTTGGTGGCAACTACGGTCTCCTCAACACCACAACCTTTCATCCAAATCCTGATTATTATGGGTATGCCTTAGCAGCTAGCTCTTCAATGTTGTTTTCTTGAAAACAAGACTAACTGCATCATCTACTGAACTAATGTAGAACACGTTTAACTTCGTAATGTAACATACTTGTTTAGCATTATACTTATTGTTACTTGCATTCTCTTTCATGCATACAGTGCTCTTTTATGGCATCGTTTGATGGGAAGGAATGTTCTATCGACACAGTTCCAAGGAATGAAAAAACTGCGCTCATACGCTCACTGTTCAAAATCTTCTGTAAGTATAAATAGTGTAAATTCGAACATGAGAGATTGTGATGTCTAAATACATAATCGATATGTTGCAGGAAGGAATCACACTGATGTTGATCAACATGCATGGTAGTAAAACAGTTAATATTAATCTTTCAGTCACACTTGCTAACACAAACGAGTCGTCAATGCTGCTACAAGTCACGAATGATCAGAACCCGAGACACGGAATTGAGAGGGAAGAATATCACCTTACAGCCAAAGATGGTGATTTACATAGCCAAACAGTGCTTTTGAATGGAAAGGAACTTAATGTGGATCATTTTGGAAGAATCCCTCTCTTGAAACCTATAAGAGTGAACCCCTCTGATCCAATTTCCATTGCTCCTCTTTCAATTGTATTTGTTCACATTCCCACTATTCAAGTGCCTGCTTGTAATATGTCTACTAGAGAGAACATGTAAGAGTTATTTCCTCCTTTGATCATGGATTTATTTTTGTAATAAATTAGGTGCTAATGAATAAGAGCAGGTTTGAGCACACTTTCAAAATCTACTATTTTGAGAAATAAATACTCAAAAGAAGCACTTTGCCAGAGTAGCAATTTGTGTTTAACTATGAGCTTGTTTATATTGACTTATTTTAGATGTTCTAAACACTTTTGTAGTGTTTAGGGAAAATGAAAAAGAGTCGATAAAGTAAGGTAAGGTCTGTGTACACTCCATGCTCTCCATTAGGGGTGTACATGGCCGGGTTTGTTCGGGTTTTTCAAATATCAAATCAAATCATTTGTGTAGGATTTTTAAATTTATAAATCAAACCAAACCAATAAAAACTCGGGTTGTTTCGGATTTTTCCGGTAAAGTATTCATACAAACATATAATTTACTTGTACTTCAAATATTTCTGTAGTCTTACCAAAATACTACTATCTAAGATGTTTCTTAAAAATATAACACAATATGATATGATTAATGACACTAAAATATCCAACAAAAATAATAATAATGAAATCGCGTAAAACAAATATTGCAAATTAACAAGTCATAATGAAAATGATCATAATTTAAAAGTACTAAATCATGCTAAAATAAGTTTAATAAGTATTAGTTACATGACTAAATATTAAAGGAAATTAAAATTAGATTATGTATTTTAATTGTCTAAACCAATGTAAAACTAAAGAACAAATATTCAATATTATTGTCATTCTTAGTGTTGAATTACTTTTCTTTTTGCATTAGTATTAATTTGATTTTAATTTAATTTTTATTATAATTATAAACATCTATGAACTATAATCTTTATTGGACCATTCCGAATTCTAAGTTTTAAACTTGAAATAATATATTAAAAGATAAAAACTATGAAAAACTATAAGAAATATTTAAAAATTATATCAAAGTAAATATTTTTATGTATAAAATAAAATTTTAAAATTATATATATAATGTCGGGTTGGTTTGGTCTCGGGTTGGTTTTTTTTAGTTAAAACCAAACCAACCCAAATATAGTCGGGTTTTTTTTCCGGGTTGACTCGATTTGCGGTTTGGTTCAGTTTTCGGTTCGATTTTGTACACCCCTACTCTTCGTATCTCAATTGTGGGATTATATTAAGTATATTGTTGTTGGATAAAATAACAAAAATAGATCACTAAGTCAGAATTCCTAACTTATATTTAAAGACATTTAAGCCCATCCAAACAAGTCTTTAATCATTCGAAAAACTCTTTTTTCAATTTTATCTAGAGAAGAGAAAAATTACAAAAGATATCGATAAAATCGGATATAATACATATAGTGGTCGAGACACTGTATTCAATAAGAAGGTTTAACATCTACTGTATGTATATATTAAAAAAATACTCGTATGACCTTTAGTGCAGATCCCGAGGCTTCGGACTAATTTCGAGCCTCCTCGTGAAATTTGAAATAAAATGAAGTTTGAGTGTGGGATCCAGTTTTTATTGAGACAACCTCAATTGGAAGTATCAACTGCTTGGTTGAGTCTAAAGTATCAAATTTAATGACACAGAGTTTCGAACGAATTTCAAGCACCCCGTCAAAAAATTGACACTTGCCAAAACTAAAAATTCTAAACAATAAGATAATTTTTTTAATAATCAACTAACCGAACTATTAAAATCTTCATCGCCCCTCTCCGGTCTGCTCAAACACAAAAAAAAACAAATAGTAATTGTACAAAAGGACCACATGTTAAAAAAATTCTACATAAAATGACAACTTTTCTTGATATTATTTTCTCAACAATGAATACTGGACTAGAAGACAATACATATATAAAGACAAATAATACCATTGTCAAATTCGAGGCATCTTCTACTTGTGGCTAAGCCTCCAAAGAAATCATAGTTCTAGAATTACACTCCCTTTTTGTGATTAACAAGGTGAGTTTTCCCAATATCATTACCACTCATTAAAAATCAACTAGTAGCAAAATTTTAGTTTTAAAGTAAAAAAAATGATATTTAAAAATTAAAATTGTTTTTAATTTTTTGTGAGTGATCTGGAGTGAAATAAGTGAAAATAACCTTTTGGTATTTTTTCAAATTTTATTAGATTTTTTACAATTCTAGAAAAGTAAAAGAATAAATTAAAATTTATGACCAAACACACCTAAGCAGTAGAAAGTGACGTTTATAGGTTTTTAGAACGATCTTAAGTTAATATATAATAATAATAATTAGTTTTACACTAGATATTTAGTGAAAGGGTGTATTCAATATAAGAGAAAACGTTTTTCATGAGAAATATTTTCGAGGAAATTAAGTCTGTTTCTTGTTTATTTTCTATGCAATATGTAAACAAAACATATTATCCTAAAAGCATTTGTGTATAACTTAGACAAATACTATGAAAGGTGAAGCGGTGGGGATGAGGCTCTATGTGTAGGAGCAAAGATAAAGTGTGTTGGATAGTGGGAAATACAAAATTAACATGAAATTTTTCTTTAACGAATGAACATAGGAAAATTGAACTCCATTGAAACACAATCTTGGTACAAGATAAATGCATGGTCTCGACAAAAGCTATTGGGTTCAGAGGCATATGCAGGAGGGGTCACCGGCTTCACGTGAACCCATGCTTTCCACCCGAAATCATATATAGTAGTGTTATATTTTTAAATTTTTTGTTAAATATAGATATGTGAACTCACACATGAAGTATCATATAATGTGACGATGATAGGGTGCACCTCTTAGTGAGGTTAGAAATTTGAAATTTATGTCTAACTTGTTTTATTTTTCTTTCTAAAATTGGGTAACGCCTCTCTAAGTTGTTATTGATAGCACTTCTGGCGTTTTAATTAATTAAGCATTTCAATTTTGGACCTATAATTTTAAAATTTTAACTATATTCAATGATAAAAGCCTAAATATCAAATCAACTAGATCCACTTTTTCATAATAGTGCACCCATCATTCCGAAATCTTGGATACCACTCTGATTGGGTTCACGTCAAACCATACTTTGCTAGATCCGCTTCTGCAGTCCTCATAGTTCCAAACCTTAATTAAGAACTTATATATAAACTTCCTTCAAGAACAGAAATTCAAGAAAGCAAAGATGAAAATAGAAAGAAAACGGAGAGTAGTACTAGTGCCATACCCATTCCAGGGGCATTTAACACCAATGCTACAGCTTGGAAGTATTCTTCATTCACAAGGCTTTTCTGTTATAGTTATACATACTGAGTACAATACTCCTAATTATTCCAATCATCCTCAATTCGTCTTCCATTCTATGGATGACGGATTACAAGGAATTGACCTATCATTTCCGAGTTTAGAAAACATGTATGATTTGAACGAAAACTGCAAGGCGCCTCTCAGAAACTACCTTGTTAGTATGATGGAAGAGGAAGGTGATCAGCTTGCTTGTATCGTTTATGACAACGTCATGTTCTTTGTCGATGATGTAGCCACTCAGTTGAAGCTTCCCAGCATTGTCCTCCGTACTTTCAGTGCTGCATATTTGCACTCTATGATCACCATTTTTCAGCAACCTGAAAAATATTTACCTTTTGAAGGTATGAGAACAATTACACATACTCTGCTTCAACATCTAAATGAAAAAATCATCCTTATAGTTAATGTTTTCTTAATGGGCGTGCAAACAGAAAAAATGACAAGTACAGTTATTTTACAGTTTAAGTAAAATATTTTGGTAAATTTTTCTTCCATTATGCTCATCTTTTGCTAAGTTTGCATTGATTACTCTATGCAATTTCAGATTCTCAGCTGCTGGATCCATTACCGGAGCTTCATCCCTTGAGATTTAAGGATGTACCGTTTCCTACCATCAAAAATACAGTTCCAGAATCGATACTAGACTTCTGTAGAGCAATGAGTGATATAGGATCATCTGTCGCGACTATATGGAACACGATGCAAGACTTGGAGAGTTCAATGTTATTACGCCTTCAAGAACATTACAAGGTGCCCTTCTTTCCAATAGGCCCTTTACACAAAATGGCACCTTTGGCCTCATCGACTAGCATACTAGAAGAAGACAATAGCTGCATCGAGTGGCTCAATAGACATGCCCCAAACTCTGTTCTCTATGTCAGCTTGGGTAGCCTAGTGAGGATTGATGACAAAGAGCTAATTGAGACAGCTTGGGGATTAGCTAATAGTGATCAGCCGTTCTTGTGGGTTATTCGACCTGGCTCTGTCTCTGGCTTTCAATGTGCTGAGGCACTGCCTGATGGTTTTGAGAAAATGGTAGGAGAAAGAGGACGAATAGTGAAATGGGCACCACAAAAACAGGTGCTTGCACATCCCGGGGTAACAGGCTTTTTCACACATTGCGGTTGGAATTCTACGGTTGAAAGTATTTGTGAAGAAGTCCCTATGATATGCAGGCCATTTTTAGGAGACCAACCAGTGAACGCAAGGTATCTGAGCCAAATATACAAGGTTGGGTTCGAATTGGAGGCTATCGAGAGAACGGTCATAGAGAAAACAATAAGAAAACTTATGCTAAGTGAAGAAGGCAAAGATGTGAAGAAAAGAGTAGTAGACATGAAACAAAACATAGTTGCTGCTATGCAGATTGAAGGCACTTCACATAAGAATCTGAATGATTTGGTAGACTTCATTTCTGCCTTGCCATCACGGCTCGCTCCGCCATTGCCTGTTGTTGGGGCAATCATGAGCTCAAACCATATAGCAAGCAAGTGTATCATAGAGTCTTGAAGTTATTTTTGAGCTCAAACCATATATTTGTGGCCTGTTAGCTTGGCAAGACAACAAGTCCTTAATCACAAAAGGAAGAATAAGATAAGAAGTGAACTTTTCATAAGTCCATGGTGCAAATGCTGAAGCAGTTTACTTTAGTTTGTTGATTGGTTTTATAAGTTGGGAACTTTGACATATTGCTTCCTAGTTGGTAGGACAATATTTTCGTGGAAAATAAATGATTTTTTTACTTATTTTCTGATGTTTGATTAGTAAAAAATATTATTGTCCCACGAGTATCTTTGTACACCTAGACCTGGAACCACCCTATAACATAGACACGGACTTGACTCGACCCGACCTCACCCCAACACTGACCTAAAACAAAACCCTGACCTCGACACCGGCTCAAAACTTGATCCTCGACCAGAACCCGACCTAACCTTAACCTAGGACCTGACAACTGACCCCATGCCACGAACTGCAACCCAAAGTTAACTCTGGACCAAACCTCAACCCAGATCAATGACTCCATCCAGAGACCTCAACCCCGACGAGGACCTGACAACTCCTGACCCCAATCCCGGGTCCCAACTTCACCCAAGAGTATTTATTGATTTTGTTTTCAACTCATTTGATATTCAATATTTATATGGACATTCGACTATGAGTGACTTCATAAGTGCGTAACTGTTGGAATAAAAATTTAAATTGGGTGACTTTGTAAGTAAAACACTCATAGTTGAGTGACTTTTGGAATAAAATTCAAAGTTGAGTAGCTTTATGAGATAAAATGAAGTTTTGACATTAATAATAAATGGTAAAACAAATTAAATTAACTAGTACACAAAATTTGTAAAGGGAGTTTTGACCTTAATACAAAGGTCAAACAAATTAAATTAACTAGTACAAAAATTGTAAATGAAGTTTTGACCTAAACAATACAAAGGTAAAACAAATTAAACTAACCAATACAAAATTTGTAAATGAAGTTTTGACCTTAATAATACAAAGTTAAAACAAATTAAATTAACTAGTACAAAATTAACTATAAACTTGTATATATAAACTTCCTTCAAGAACACTATTACTAAACTCTTGAATAGAAGAGAAACTCAAGAAAAAAAAGATGAAAATTGAAAGAAAACAGAGTGTAGTACTAGTACCATACCCATTCCAGGGGCATTTAACACCAATGCTGCAGCTTGGAAGTATCCTTCACTCACAAGGCTTTTCTGTTATAATTGCACATCCTGAATACAATACTCCTAAATATTCCAATCATCCTGAATTCGGCTTCCATTCTATGGATGACGGATTAAAGGGAATTGAAATATCATTACCGAGTTTAGAGAACATACATGATTTGAATGAGAACTGCAAGGTGCCCCTCAGAAACTACCTTGTTAAGATGATGAAAGAGGAAGGTGATCAGCTCGCTTGTATCATTTATGATAATGTCATGATTTTCGTAGATGATGTAGCCACTCAGTTAAGGCTTCCCAGCATTGTCCTGCACACTTCCAGTGCTACATATTTGCACTCTATGATCACCATTTTTCAGCAACCAGAAAAATATTTTCCTTTTGAAGGTATGAGAACAAACACATCCTCTGCTTCAAGATTTTAATGAAAAATCATTTCGATAACAATAAGTATGCTTCAGTCACAAACAAGTTGAGGTCGGCTATGTGAATCTTCACTGACCATGGTCCCTATTTACATTCATCACAAGCCAACATTATAGAAAATAAAAATAGAAATGAAAGGTACCCTTTCCAGTTGATTTTACTTGCCGTCCTTGCAAAAAATAGATGGTCCAAGATAATTGCCATTTTAGAAAACCAAGATATAATTAACTAAGTATTAGTTTTCACTTTTATCTTTACACAATAAATGTGGAAAGATATTAATGTGGTGGAAAAGAGAGTAGTATTAAATTGAGATCAAATAATAAATAAGGATAATTTGATCAAATTACACTTTTAGTTATTGTTTTCTTATGGGGCGTGCAAAAAAAAATGACAAGTAAAATGGAACAAAGCGAGTACTGCAAGGATAATTCAGCCTATAATCTTTTTCTTCCGTTATGTTGTATCTTTCACTTAAGCTTGCATTAATTACTCACTACAATTCCAGATTCTCAGTTGTTGGATCCGTTACCAGAGCTTCATCCCTTGAGGTTTAAGGATGTACCAATCCCTGTTGTTAATAATACAGTTGCAGAACCGGTACTAGACTTCTTTAGAGCAATCAGCAATATAGGATCATCTGTTGCGACTATTTGGAACACGATGCAAGACATGGAGAATTCCATATTGTTACGCCTTCAAGAACATTACAAGGTGCCCTTCTATGCAATAGGCCCTTTTCACAAAATGGTGCCTATGGCCTCATCGACTAGCATACTACAAGAAGATAACAGCTGCATCAAGTGGCTCGACAGACAAGCTCCTAACTCTGTTCTCTATGTCAGCTTAGGTAGCCAAATGAGAATTGATGACAAAGAGTTAATTGAGACGGCTTGGGGATTAGCTAATAGTGATCAACCATTCTTGTGGGTTATTCGACCGGGATCTGTCTCTGGCTTTCAATGTGCTGAGGCACTGCCTGATGATTTTGAGAAAATAGTAGGAGAAAGAGGACGAATAGTGAAATGGGCACCACAAAAACAGGTGCTTGCACATCCCACGGTAGCAGGCTTTTCACTCATTGTGGTTGGAATTCTACACTTGAAAGTATTTTGGAGGAAGTCCCTTTGATATGCAGGCCATTTGTAGCAGACCAGCCGCTGACAGCTAGGTATCTGAGCCAAATATACAAGGTTGGGTTTGAATTGGAGGTTATCGAGAGAACGGTCATTGAGAAAACAGTAAGAAAACTAATGTTAAGTGAAGAAGGCAAAGATCTGAAGAAACGAGTAGTAGACATGAAACAAAACATAGTTGCTGGTATGCAGATTGATGGTACTTCACATAAGAATCTAAATGATTTGGTAGACTTCATTTCTGCCTTGCCATCACAGTTCGTTCTGCCATAGCCTGTTGATGGATCAAATATAGCAAGCAAGTGTATCATAGAGTCCTGAAGTTAGAAGAATTACATACTTTTTGTTGCCTGTTAGCCTGGCAAGACAAAAAGTCCTTAATCACAAAAGGAAGACTAAGATAATTAGTGATTTTTTCTGAAGTCCGTGGGGAAAATGCTGAAGCAATATAGCAGCCTGTTACAATCACAAAACTTTCTTATTTTAGTCTGTTGATTTGTTTAATAAGTTGGGAACTTTGACATATTGTTTGCTAGTTGTTAGAACTGAGATATATTTATTCTTTGTCATCCCTATGTTAAAAATATAATATGTAGTATACAACGAGGGAGCTAGTAAAACAATGGTTGTGCTTGGTGTAGTCATGCATTCGATTCTTCCACCAGCCATAATATTGACCATTAAAACGCGGTGGCCTAGTAGAAGACTGACCTTCTTCCATATTGGGTGGAGCAGCCATTCCTTTTGGATTTTTTCTTTTCTTGGTGTTAACCAAAACGAAAAGTACCGCTCTGATACCACTTGTTGGAATGTATGCGTCCACGTTTTCTATGGGATCAGGTCCTCAGCACAGTTACAATAACAGAAAATAAACAAAGTGCTGAAAGTAAAGATTGCACAACAACTTTACGTGGAAACCTCCTTGCTCAAGGGAGTAAAACCACGACCTGGCCTGCCAGGACTTTTCAAACTTCTTTCACTAATCTTCTCCAAGCAAAAGTAAAAGCAAGTTTACAAACCGAGATTAGCCTACTAATCCCAACTCTAAGCAATACCTCCTATTACTTAGATGAGCCAGAGCAGATACAACACTGCCCACTAAGCTATCACCCTTAGATAACTTAGACTTTGCTAAGCGGATACCACACCGCCCACTAAATCAACTAGCTCCTAGATGACTTAGAATTTGACTAAGCAGCAAC